AGTTCTTAGTTTTACATATAGGCAGACACTCAGACACTCAGACAGTCAGACAGACAGACTGACAGACAGACAGACAGACAGACATGCACACACAATCACACACACACACACACGCGCGCGCGCCAACATGATAAGTGGCTGATAGAGTTTCCCAGACAAAACCTCGTCCACAGGAAGAGACGTGCGGCTGGGGGGCAGGAAGCTTCGGGTGGTGTCGTTGGACACCCGAGGGTGGCCTGGATTTCAACGCTCTGACCTGAGACATGCCGATTCAAAACCATAACAGCCGATACACAGCCACCCATCAGAAGCGTGACAAGCCCAGGACTTTTGGCCCGACTACAAGTACGCATAGTCAAGGGTGGCGATCTCAGCTGGACGACACCTGTAGCGCAGCCATATCAGGCTGCCTTCACGCGGCCTTCAGGTACGAGTCCCAGCTCGCATGTCCCGACCCTCGCCAAGGCTGGCCCGCTGCAGGCGTTGCGCGGAGCGAAGCCACGCAAGACAAAAAAAACGCACCACTGTGCCCATGTGGCCATGTGACGCATTGCAAACGCCATGCACGGACATTTCCCGTTTGGAATTGTGCGACAGCTGCAAAGAAGAAATGGCTACAAATAACGCCTCAGTGCCAGTCAATGCGTAATATGCTGTTTGCATGTTGTCTTTTGCCCAAGCGTGCCTAGCGGCTAGCTCCTTCGCCTGTTGCTTAGGTCCTACCCTAAGTCTAGCTGCTATGGTCAATGACCGATTTGTGGCCCGCTATCTGATGCACCGCCGGGATTTGCCTGCGCTGGCATGCCAGAGAGCTCCGACCTGTGTTGGATGCAGAGACTGCGGCCAATTCTTGAAGAACATCGTCACGGCAGCCTGCCTCCATTTCGACGACGAGGCTCCGCCTTGGCAGGTTGTCCATGACCTCTTGATGCAAGACTTCCAGCTGTGGGCGGCTGTGTGCGAACGCGGCCGAAAGCGTCACCGCTGGAGGCAATTCCTCCTTGGCGTCATTGGCCCGCTCCCGCCACCTCATCCTGGGAAAGCGGTCATCGAAAGGATCCACAAAGCTAGGATGGCAATGACCACGAGATTGAATGTCAAGACTGTCAAGAAGCGCGTGCACCGGTCGCCAGCGGAAGCCCTCGACCTGAGCGTCCCGCATTGACTGCACAGGCTAGCGCGACGGAAAAACTGAAGGATGCTTTCATGAATGCAGAGTGTAGCAATGCGAGTGTGTGCAGGGGGCAAGATACGAGGGTCCAGAGGCCACGAACCACACAAAGCAGAGCTCAACAGACGTTGTCGCTTGCCACAGCTTTTTGTTCAAGAGATTTTGTTCAAGAAATCATGGTGCTTGGCCAAGCAGAGGCCGGAAAGCGAGAAGTTGTAGTTGCGAAACTGATCGTGACATTTACCCCCGATTACCCAAATCAGAACGGCTCGGCGCTCCAGGCAGAGTGGCCGCACTTCGTCTTCACCTGCCACTTCACCTGGGAGGCGGGCTGCGTTGTGGCCTTCCGGTACCTGAGCGGTACGCTTCTCGGCGACAGTCGCTGGAAGGATTCGACCTCGGGCACGAAGATTGTGCGAATGCCTGTCTGTCATGCGCGAACCACAGCTAGCTTAACACAGGAGCTCGACAACGTGTGCGGCGGCGACCTTAAACTGGAAGCAGAGAGCATCCTCCGACGACGAGAACTCGCACCGGACTCGTGTTTCAACATCACGCTCCTGCACAACCGCACGATCATCACGGACAACGTCCGACTTTCAGGCGAGCACCTGTCACGCACCGTTCGCCTCAGAAAGAGCTTCCCGCACAGCAGGCTGCTGTATTACGAATTCTAGCCTGCTTGCAGGCCCCGAAGTGTTCCTGAACCGGCCGAAGGCGGTGAGAGCCACGCACAAGATGAGTTTCACAGGATGGCTTTATCGCTGCCAGCTTACCGAGCTACAGAGGCAAAACATGACACTCACCGAGTTCCAGAGAGCAGGACAGTACCAGAGACCAAGGACGTATGCAAGCGCATGCGCCCAACATGCCATGAACACAGCCAAGCCAGGAAAACCCGGATAAGCACTTGGCTCAAGCCACTAGCAAAAAGCCAGCAGCCCCGCACCGTTCCCATCCACTCGACAAGGCGACGGCCTGCAGTAAAGGCGTCAAGCGAGCAGCCCCGGGTGCAGGACGAAGAGACGGCAATGGCAAGCCCCGTCCCTAGATTCTTGGACCACGAGCATGGGCCATCGACTCACACACGCACAAGGCAACAGCCGTGACAGCGTCGCGGAGCTGGTGCAGCGGTTTTGCGACCTGCCTGGGTGCACCAAGACCAAGGCCGGGCCGCTCAAGGCAGCATGCTATGGCAACGAGTGGAAAGCGCGGTCGGGCAGTTGAAGCACCATCTCGGCAGCGATGGGCCTCTGAGCCAGTCTGACCAGTTGGCGCTGGCAAATCACCCGCTGCGGATGGAGGCGGGCCCCGTCACGACTCAGGAACCTTTACATAAACGCAAGCTGCTTCAGGCCCGAGAACTGGCGGATCACATTGCCCGACGAATCTTGGAGGCCCGGCCCGCGAAAGCAAGAGCGGTAGAACGGCAACCCCCGCGTTGCCCAGGAGTTTACGATGGAGGACACAAGGGTACATTGTCGAGTCCTCCTGTTCAAGGTAATGCACTTCCTCCGAGTTGCGACCCCAGCAAGCAAAGCGTCCACACCAGTTAGGCAAGGATACGGTATGCGCGAGCCGAGGTGCCATTGTTGCCACCGGACATCGCGAACCAATTCCAGTTCGCGATGAGCAAGCAGGCACGTCAGCCGCAGGTCCCAGAAAATCAAGTTCATGCCGCTGTCGCCTGCCAGATGGAAGCAGGGGCAGCACCGCGGGCTGCGGATGTTCCCCTTCCGTGGAGACTCATCGCGCCTCGCCCTCGGCGCCATGCAGACATCCCCTTCCCCCCGAACGCAGCATAGAGCGCGAACTCCCCCCCCCCCTTCCCCCTCCCTCCCCACGACACAGGGCAGACATCTGGTCGGAATACCACGACTATGACCAGTGAGTTCGCTGCTGGCATCCCAGTTTCAGCTTCCACAGAGCACAGCAAGGCACCAACGATCCCCATGAGGTGCAAAAAGAGTGGCCTCTTTGCGGTACAGGGATCG